CATGTCACCAAAGGTGTCCGCTCGAAGTCCACTTGTTTTGCTTCGTGATGGTGCATGTTTTGCCGCTTGGCAAACTTCACACTCACTTCGGATCTTGTCAAATAGATCGAATGTTGATTTCGGCAAATGAAGTGCTCGGGTTCTAAATCGAAATTGATCTGTTGTCATGTGATGATGCTGCAGGTGGAGTTTCTTCAACTCTTCGGGATTTGACAATCGCTTGTGTATTCTGCCTAGGGCAAGCGGAAGCGATGTTGGTTCTTCTGAGGATGGTGCGAAAGGATCTGGCTCAATAGTCGACCGGCCCCTCTTGTCGATGATCCTGTCTGCTGCCGATCCTGAACCTGCTTCTTCGTCCTTAAGCGAATTGTCCGCGAAGGTGAAAATGGTCTTACCTGTCCACAGGTTAATCATCGGTTTATTTGCCTGGGATGTAAGTCTCCAACTGTCTTCTAAAATGTCTGGATCTCCACCTGCGGATGCATCAATGATTTCCGTAGTACGTTCTCGGCTAATGTGATCAGGATTGATTGGACATTCCTTGGCTCCATTTGGTGTGAACAGCGCCTTTCGGGCGTGATGCGCACACGGATGAGCTGCTTGTTCTTCTTGTCAAGGATCCAATGGTCCTGCTTTTGAGACCCAATGATCTTAGGAGTTGCTAGGTCCTCCTTTGTCTCGGATGATTTTGCTGCACAAACAGTTTCGCTCTTGGTGAGATCCCCGGAGGGAAACTTGATGCTGTTATCATCGTCATAGACATAGTTGATGAGGCCCTTGTGAGCAATTTCTCCATGCGCCTTCACTCTTGCAACTCCAGCGAGATCGACGAGTGCATGTCCTGCACCGGATACCGGAACTGCTTGACGGTTCACGCCAAAGGCTTTGCATGTGATCTTGTCACATTGAGGTGTGTGCTCGATGGTCATGTAGAGGTTCCGCATCTGGCTGATGCTGAGAAGGTTCCTTGTTCCAGGACGTCGATGTTGGTACTGCGTGGAGGAGTTGTGTGATATCGATGACGCAGGGTCCAATTTACCCTGGCGGTCTCTCCGTTTGCAAAAGTGAACTTGGCCTCGGCTGGGATGTACTCATAGGAGATGATGTCATTCATTGGTTCGATGGCCTGAGTAAAACGCTGGATTGCATGCCAGCTGCCCATAGATCTGGTACATCCATTGTCCAGAATCGCATAGGTCGGGTTGTGCTGAGGGTTGATGACAGGCGCCATCAGCTTTGTTGCCAGAAGGCTGTGATTTGTTGTGACGGACAGATTGTGTTCTGAAACTGTATCTGATTGGATCAGCTTCTCGTGGATGGCCTTTTCCCAGGATGCTCATATGCATCATGGAATGCCATTAACGCTTGTCCTGCGCTGGATGTGTCATGGGATGAGTACCAGCCATGTTCGTTCCACGTCCATGATTGATCCCAGTCTTGGTCTGTCCAACCGGCATAGGTAGGCTCCATGGATGGTGCAGTCTGCTGGATGGCGGGCTGCTCCTCCGTCTTCTCTGCGGTGGCTGCGAACGTCTTGGATTTTCCTTTCTCCTGTCCGCTCTTTCCTTTGCCACTCTCATAGGATGGATAACCTTTGTTTCCATCATAGGGATATTGGAATTTTGATTTTCCTTTCTTTCCCTTCTTTCCTTTGCCTTTTCCCCAATATGCCTGGTCGTAGGGATCATAGTTTTCGTTGGCCATATTGGCCTTTCCGCCAGAACCGCTTTTTCTGAAGGGTTTAAAGCCACCTCGTTGGTGACTGCCCTTTTTGTTTCCTGATTTTCCTTTTCCTTTTCTCTTCTTGAACTTGAAGTTCCGCCCCGACACTTTTCTTGCTATGATCGCATCGTTCTCCTCGAGGACCCAGAACGTCTCTTCATCGTTGTTTGACATGAGTCCTTCAAGTCCTTCTTCATCCTCAACCCAGAAGCCTTCTTCTCCTTCGTACTCACCTTGTTCGATGATGAAGAATGTGTTGCTTCGGTTGCCTCCTTGAGGTCGGATGGATGGATCTTGGATCGATGTCCTCGTCGTGATGAAGAATTCATGGTAGTGCGTCTTCAGCATCTCATAGGAGTAGTTTTCTAGTGAGATGTTTCTCAGTGACATTGCACTTGTGAGTCTTTCTCTTTGCTGATCTGACAGCTCACTTTGTATAATGAAAAATTGTGCCATGAGATTATCCCCGGAAGGGAAATGTGTCCCGCTGTCTGTCCTGCATTCCTTGGATATACTGTCTGAGGACTGTTGGATCGTCTTCATTGAGCAGGGCTGGAGGCGGCGCTCGAACACCGGCTGCTTGCTGATGTCGAGCAACTGTTCTTGCATTTGCGTCCTGTACGGACTGTCGAAATGATGGGGACTGTGCCGTGAAAACGGGCATCAAGTCCATCCATGCTGCCTTCAATCTCATAAGAAGGATTTCGAATTTTGATGTAAAAATGGGGAACTCTTGGTTCTGCCTTCTATGGTTGAAGAAACTGAGGAGCCTGTACAGATACACGTTGGTCGCACCTTTCCAAAAGTACTTCTTCAGCGTGTTCTTGAAATAGTTGACTCCTTCATCAGGATCTTGCAAAAGGTAGTTTTGGAGGACTGCCTTGTACATATATGCATCTCCCGTCAATCTGCTTTTGAGCAGAGGTCCTCTCTTGGGTGCTTCCACCGTTGTGATAGTCACCCAGTCGTCCACGAGTTCTTCATACCTGAACCAGCTGACTTTTCCGTCATACGATGGCGGCTGCTTGGCGGTCATCGATAAATTTAGTGTTTCCTCCGTATAGCCTGGAATTTTGGCCATACTTGAATAGGCTTCCATGAAGCCTTCTCCATCGGATGACATCTTCCCTTGGATCTCCGTTGAGGCCCACTGCTCCAGGTGCCTATCCCCGAAAGGAACTGGTTCCCTGTGGTGGTAGAGGTCGTTGTCTTGGTCCCTGGATCTATTCCGGGGAGAATCCAATATGCCACTGTGGATGATTGGAGGATGGATTGTCCCTGGCGGATTGTCTTGTGGATAATCCTGTAAGCGGCTTGCTAAGGTTCTTTTGCTTCACGCGATCATGAATGATGCAATGATATACAAAAGGGGCCTTGAGCCAAATGTTGCGGGAGATCAATTGGTCTGGGAACCAAACACATGGGGGGGGGTGTATGTTCATGTGCCCAAGCATCTGATCCCGAAGCGCACATCATCATCCACCATCTTTGTCACTTGTCCTATGGATCACACAATTGTCGCGTTGGTTTGCGATTGTCTTGATGTCTCGCTGATTCCTTCTCTGTCCTCGTATGGATCACGGAATTGTCGGCTTGACTTGCGATCGACTTGATGTTTCGGGGGGTGGGGGGGATGTTTGCTTCGTGCACAGGCCTGTGACCAATCTTGGATTTCGCAGATGGCTCACAGCATGGAGGAATTCAAGGAGCATTTGTCGTTGCTTCTGTTGCATCGGCTTGGGCATGTGCGCTTGCCCTCTGGGCTGACAGAGTGGGAGAACTATGCGGGGACCTCAATAGATGAGTGGCATCAGGACACTGGTTCGAAAGCGAAAGCATTGTTTTTACGGTTGTTTTTAACGGTCGTGTTTCTCAAGAGTTGCGCCTTTGTTTTCGGGAACAGATGTGAGCCAGGTAGCCTGCGGAGCTGAAACCAGCGTGCAGCACAACATATATGGCATGATCTTGTCCAGCGGCGCGCCTCTGTCACATGCCTGGCAAGACCTACGCCGGTCGCTACCTGCACTTCCTGAGTTGTGGTGCACTCTACAGCGCACGCCTCCTCCGACAGCGGGCGTGTCTGCTGCATTGTGGGTTTTGCGCCGCCACACCTAATCCAGAAGCAATGATCATGGCACGAGCAATACCATTGCTTGAACAGCTTGCACTGGTCCCCGTCATATTTGCACAACTGAACGTTCGACAAAGTAGTGTAAAAACCAGGTTTTGCACCATTTTTGCTGAGTACTTGCCCTTGAGACACTGCCTATAAGAACAAAAACACAACAAGTGTTGCAAATTACAGCACGTTTGTGCTTTGCATGGACGAAACGGGCGTCGGCTTTCACTCCGTACGGATGTTTATCTAGCAGTTATTTTGCCTGCAAAAATTTGAGGCCACAGGAAACTGTAGTCCAGAAATATCCCGTACTTCTGTTTTCAAAATATTTCGGCCGATAAGCTGTTTGTAGTCTATTGTCAAACACAAAGGCATGTTTTTGCGCCACTGTCACAAGGGAAAATAACCATGTAGCAGCCCCATGGGTAATTGACATTTTTGGCCAGAGTTTCAACACACACAGTCGCAAACACGCATACATCAACGTGTTGTCACACACACATATTCAATAGCAGATCGCGCCTGCAAAACGGTCGTAGGAGAATCTGCTTGGTCGAGCAGGCCGAGCAAGGCCGACTAGGGCGAGCCGCCGAGCACGCCGAGCACGCCGCGGCCGAAGGGCAACTAGGGCCGAGCAAGGCCGACTAGGGCCGAGCAAGGCCGACTAGGGCCGAGCAGGCGGACTAAGGTCGACTAAAGCCGAGCAAGGCCGAGTAGGCCGACTAGAGGCGAGCTGAACGTGGCGGCAGCGTAGCGTCACACACACATACTTATATGCACACGTATGCGTTGCGCACATGTGTTTATCAAATATATAAATAACGCATAGTACGGGTAAATCTTTATTGGATTGAAGGGAAGCCGACCGGAAACCAAACGGTGAAGGTTCTGAGACAAACTTACATCAATATCAATGTCTATTCAATCACCGTACTTAGCAGCCATGGGCGCCAAAGCTACTTGGCTCCCTTGTCGCGAAACTAGAGGACCAGCCGCGAATGTTGTTTTTTGCCAAGCTCCCAACGCACGCAGCCCACGAAGAGCAGGTGTACGCGCCTGCGACCCGACATTTACCAAACTTCCAGTGCCAACAACCGGCAAGCTCTCCATGTTGTTTGGATGGTTTTTGGTGTACACTGGGCAGAGCGCGTCGCGTCAGGCGTGGCAAAGCGCCTCGCCTTGGACCGCCAGCTGGGCACAGTGCCCGAGGCGAGTGTTTTCGCCTGCAGCGCGAGTGTTTTCTGCAGGGTTTCTTGTTGGCTTGCCCCAACAAGCGTCAACAAGGAGGAAGTCTGGGCGGAGAGCTTAGAGTTTGCTTGTGTTGTCTTGGGCTTCCTTTAAAAGCGGACCATCCAAACTAGTGTCCCCGATTCACCGTCTCCGCAGATTCCCCCGAAAAAGACCCGGGCTTACGGGCGCCCTACGCGTGAGGTTTGGGGTAACACATGAGAGGGGGGCCTGCTTTTCTACAAGGGCGACAGGAAGAGGAAATGTGTCTGATGCTTCGCCCATGTGCGTGTTGTGAACGAGCGAACTCCTATAAAACCAGAGAAAGGAACTGGGGCTCTGCTGGCCGTTCCTGTTGATTTCCCGAAAAGAGAGGATTATTTTCCAGTTGGATACGGCTTGAGTCAACAGCTGGAATGGACGACCCGATGGTTTGAGCCTCAAACACATCATCCTAAAAAGATCATGTGGCACTGTTCAATGTTCATGCTATGTGATCAAGTCAAGCCAAGCTAGTTGAAGAAGGTTTGCGAAAGACTGTGCGGTCGTCAGGTAAAATCAAGTTGCTTGCTTTCGAATATGACGTAAGTTGTGTCTTCAAACTGATGCTTTGATAAAGACGATCGTACTATCCCAAAAGGGCGCCAAGTTCCAGCAGGTCTCCATGTGGCGCCAAGGCTTTGGCCTGCGCCAAGCTAAGTGATTGCCTTGTCCATCAGCTGATGGACCTGGGTGGTGAAGATGTGCGGTTCGTCGTCAAAGCTGTGCAACGGTGCATACTGCGCACGGCGTAGCGACGCGTGATAGCCTCACCAAGTAAGAAGAGGCGCGCAGCCGGAGATTAGCCTGATAGCGGCGAAAGTTTCCTTCGTCCCCCCACTCTTCCATCTGAGCAGGCCGGACTGCGGTTGCTGGCGGAGCTTCGTGATCGCGCAGGGCAGTTGGCCCACCACCTCCACAACCATGGCGTCAAAAAGCCCAAGGCCATGTTGGGTTCCAGGTAGCCGTGCTCTCTCCAACTCCGGCGCCGGGTTGATCACGGTGTGTGCGACGCAGCGTGGCCGTCACCTTCAAGCCCCTCAGTCTCCACAGGCAGGCCGGCCTGAGTGGCGAGGAGCTGCTAGCAGCCTGGGCGACGGTGCCTTGTAGCAACGAAAGCAGCTCTGCGACGTCACTCGTGTCTGCATCTTTGCTAGCGGGGAGCCACTTCGTCGTAAGAACAGTCCTGTTTTCAGAGATACGAAAAAAAGATGCTGGGAGACTGGGAGTTTCTAGCGATAGGAGTTACTGGAAGTTAGCTCCGAAGTTATTAGAACATAGTAAGTGCACTCAACTCCCTCAAAGATAAGTAACACTAACTTCTAGAAAGTTCCTACATGTGCTGTATCACTTAAAAACCCAAAGAGCGTGCCATAAGAAACCGTGCCCCCGTGTGTTGCTGGCCGCTTTGCCGGACATGGCGCAGAACTTCCCGCAATTGACCCCGGGCTCCTTGCTGGGCTAGGTAGTCTCCTTGCACGGGTAGGTGTCCACCTTGGGCACGGACTGGGAAACTCAATGGATTTTTTCAGCAAGGACTGCGGTGCAGCTGACGGGCGATCAGGAGCCAGCTGATGAATGAGGGCAAGTAGGCCCTGGTAACAGAAGGCAGCTTCCCCCCCCAACTTTAATCCATATCCTGGGTTTCGCCCGCGCTGCAGTTGGTGAGCGCGCAGCGACTACAGCTGGAGAGGGCTTTGGACTGAATCTCAGCTGTGGCGTGGTGGGCAGGGGTCCCGCATATTCCACCACTAAAGGGCCGACCATGTTAACCCTCGCAAAAAAGTCTTATGGCGTCAAGAAAAAAACATCTTCTGTTTGATTTCCCTAAGGCCAGACAAAAGGGGCACCAAGTGGTAGAAGCCTTCTTGCGACGCTGAGGACCTCAACTTCAATGAGTCCTCGAATGGCCGCTGCCATGGTCCTGCCTTGGCGTGAGGTGGTTCTGCTGCCGTCATTTGTCGCAGCTTCTTTGAAAACGGCAGTGAAACAAACCTTGGATGTGTAGCAGGGAGGGAGCCAAAGCAAGTTTAGAAGGAGACTTCCCTAGCGCGGAAACTAATTAAGAAGTAGCTTGCGCAAATAGACAGCTCACAGAAGATCAGACGGCCTATGCGAAAATAATATAGCGCGCGGAGATGGGAAGAGGAACGAAGCATGAACTCATGCGAGAAAACCTGCGTGGGCGTGCGGCGGGGGGCACAGATATCGGAAACAGAGAGCCCTGTGTTTTGGCAGGTCTGAGTATGTCTCAACCTCCTCTGTCTCGACGACTGTCTGGCGCGGTCTCAGTGCGGGTTTCGCAAGGGTTCAACTGCGTGGCGGGCGCGGCGCCTTGTACAGACTTCCCAGACAACCCAATTGTGCACAAAACACATCATTTGCAACAGACGGAGTCAGACAGCGTCGCCTGTAGCGACGGTGTTGGAAGGACTCTAGGTTCGTGACAGTCGCAGCGTTTTCGGGAGGCCGCTGTGGCAGGACCAGTGCCTGCGCAAGGTGTCGTGTCACGCGTAACAGTTCTGCAAGGTCAGGTGCTGATTTCGTGGCGGGCGCCGCGCTTGTCAGGCACAGATTTCAGGCAAGCGCAGCACTTTTGCAAGGAGAGAGACGGGCAGGTGGTAGATAGAAACCGAGATAGATGGACAATGGATCACACACAGATTGATCGAGAAGATAGTGGGGGATAGGTAGACAAATAGAGATAGATACACGATGATAGAAAGATAGAGGGACAGTTAGACAAAGAGTGGGTGGTGGGTGGATTGGTGGATTGGTGGAAAGATGGACCGATGGATTGATGAATGGATAAATGGATGGATAAATGGATGGGTAGACAGAGAGAGCGAGATAGAGAGAGAGAGATTGAGGGGAAGAGAGAGACACATAGACTTGTAGAACAATGCACAAAGAAATAGATGGACGGGCAGATGTGCAGATAGAAAGAGAGATAGAGGCGGAAAAGAACGATAAAGAGAGAGAGACAGAGAGGAAGAAAAGAAAGGAAGAGCAAGAGAAAGAGAAAGGAAATAAAAAACGGAGAAAGAGAAAGAGAGAAAGAGAAACAGAAAGAGCAAGAGACAGAGAAAGAGAGAGAGAGAGAGGTAGAGAAGGAGAAAGGACAAGATAACGGGAAGCAGAAAGAGAGAAAAGGTAAGGGAGAGAGAGGGAGAACGCCAGAGAAAAAGAAAGGGAAAGAGAAAGTTTCTCTTGCTCGGTTTTTCTTGCTCTCTTTTTCTTGCTGTCTTTCTTTTGCTCTCTTTCTCTTTCTTTCGCTCACTCTCTCTCTCTCTTTCTTTTTTCATCTTTTTCTATTCCTGCCTCTCCCTTTCTGGTTCTCTTTTACTCCTTCTCTTTTATCTTCTCGTCTCTTCTCTTCTCTTCTCTTGTTTCTCTCTTTCTCTGTTTTCCCTCTTTCTCACTTTTCCTTTTTCCTTGCTTTTAGTTGTTCATTTCTTATCTTTCTCTTTGTATGTTTCTCTTTCTTTTTGCTTTTCTTTCCCTTTCTTTTTTATGTTGCTATTTATCTTTCTATTTTTCTCTCTTTCTCTCTTCCTGTCTTTCTCTCTTTCTCTGTCTCTCCGTCTCTCTCTCTCTCTCTCTCTCTCTTTGTCTTTTGTCTCTCTGTCTGAATCCCTCTTTCTCTCTTTCTCTCTTTCGTATTGTTGTTTTCTATCTTTCTCTCTTTCTCTCATTCTCTCGTTCTCTCTTTTTCAACTTCTCTCTTTCCTTGCTTCTTTCTTTCTATTTTTCTCTTTTTCTCTCTGTCTTTCTGTCTTTCTTTCTTTCTTTATTTCTTTCTTTCTTTCTTTCTTTCTGTCTGTTTTTGTCTTTAATTCTTTCTTTCTTTCTTTCTTTCTCTCTCTCTCTCTCTCTCTTTCCTTCTTTCTTTCATAGTTGTTCTTCTTTCTTTGTATTTTTCTTTCTTTTCCTCTTTCACTCTTTCTTTGTTTGTTTCTCCCTGTTTCTCTTTCTTTTATTCTGTTTCTTTTGCTCTCTTTCTCTCTTTCGCTCTTTCTCTCTCTCTCATTTGTATTTTTCTCTCTTTCTCTTTCTTCTCTTTTTCTTCGTTTCTCTTTTTTGTGTTTTTTCCTCCTTCTCCTTATATTTTTCTTTATTTTTCTGTTTGTGTTTCTCTTTGTCTCTTGCGAAAAATCTTCGCCTGCCGCGAAACCTACACCTGACCTGGCGAAAGTGCTGCGTGCGCGAAATCTGCACCTGATCTTGCGAAAGGGGCGCGCCTGCCACGAAATCTGTACTTGACCTTGCGAAAGGGCTATTTGCCACGAAATCTGCGCCTGTCCTTGGGAAAGCGCTGCGCCTGCCACGCAATTCACACCTCGCATTGCCATTACAGCGGGCTGTGCGCCGAAGCTGTTCCGAAGCCGAGCCGCGCCCGTGCCAGGGAGGCGTCGAGACAGAGGTGGTTGACATGGACGCAGACCCGCCAAAACCCGCAGCAACTCTTCGTCGCGATTTCTTCTTCCCTGCCGCGCGCCCACACGCGTTCGTTTTTTCTTGGTCGTTTTGCGTGCAAGCTGTCTGCGTGCGTTTTCTGCAAGAGCTATCTTTTCGCACGCGCTCTCTGATCTTCTGAAGTTCTCTGCGCAAGCTATCAGTGTCCGTACTATGGAAGTTTCCTTCTAAACTTCCTGGGCAAAGAGTATAGTTTTTACATTTCTAGAAACCGACCGTCGGCTTCGCCGGCTCTGTAAAAAGCCAGGAGACGGAGAGAGAAAGAGAAAGCGACAGCGAAAGAGAAAGAGAGAGAGAGAGAGAGAGAGAGAGAGAGAGAGCGAGAGCGAGAGCGACAGAGAGAGCGATATGAAAGAAAGAACGAAGGCGAGCGCAGAACGACGCAAGGAAAAGAAAGGAAGGAAGGATGGGAAAAAGGAAGAAGAGAAAGGGCATGAAACGAGGGCAAAGAGAGGAAGAAAGACAGAAAGAGCGGAAGGAAGGAGGGCAGGCAGCAAGGGCGGGAAAGAAGCACGAAGACGAAGAAAACAAAGGAAGAAAAGAAGGAAAGAAAGACATAGAGAAACAACTGCAGAGGCAAATAGGGAAATGCAGGAAGGAAGGAAGGAAGGAAGGAAGGAAGGAAGGAAGGAAGGAAGGAGGCGAAGAACCGAACAGCAATAAACCGTGAATTTAAAGAAAGAACATCACGAAGTTCAGAAACATCAGCGAAGGAACAGACGAAAGGAGACACATAAAACAATGAAGAACAAAGCAAGTACAAGGTAAACAAACTTGGAAATAACGCATCGCAGAGAGAAATCATGAGAACCGAAAATTCAGTCAAGAAACGCAGAGGAAGTTAACTTTGGAAACGCAGGAGGAAAAGGGAAGGAAGGAAGGCAGGCAGAAGGCAAGAAGAAGGGAAGGCAGGAAAGAAGGAAGGAAGGAAGGAAAGGAAAGATGGGACGAGACAAGAACAGAAAAGAAAGTCGCGCGCGCGAGGAAGGAAGGAAAGGCCAGGAGGACAGCAAGAGAAGAAAGCGAGCAAGCGAACAACCCAGACGGAGGGGGAGGGGATGGAAAGAATCAAAGCAATGGGAAGGACAAGAAATGTGAGGGCAGCGAACAAAAAGAGAGGACAAAGAAAGGGGAAAGGGAAGCAAGCAAGGATTGAGGAAAAGAAGCACATAGCGCTAGAACTCAGAGGTATTGAGAAGACCTCATGTTTGAGAGCGCTGAAAGATGTCATTGCCAGCCTCAAGGTCCGCCGACTTTCTTGCAGTATGCCAGTGAATTCTTTTCCCATGAGGATTGGGCGGTCATGCTGACACGCTTGCGCTGGCAGAGATATTTGGCCATGAGTCTTCCCCACCAGCTGTCGCAAGAGTTGCCGCAGCAGTTCTATGACATTCAAGGGAAGATGACATTGACGTTATGTTTTTCTGAAGCTTGCTTAAATTTTGTGCTACATTCTGGCGCACGCATGGGGTTTCTGGAAATAAGCGGACGGACCTTGTAGATGTGCGTTTTTCTCCTTGGTTTGGCTCGGATTGTAGTGAGGCCTTTTGTAAAGCCTCAACCGCAAGGTTGCGCTGTTACCCGCAACTGAGTAGGGTCTGGGCGTTGCTCAATTGAGATCAGGCGCATCTCGTTTGGGAGTGTAAAAAACCGGGGATACTTTTTGGGGAGGAAACTAGAGAGAAGTCAGGATCAGCCAACTTGTGTTGGCAAATCAGGATCTCGGCCAGGACCTTTGCCGGCCCAGCAATGTCGCGGTGAACATCATGGAGGCAGAGCTTCAGGAGCGAGCTCTCGCTGTGCCAGCGAGGGTTGCGCGAGGGTGCAAAACAGCTCCCCGTGCTGTTTTTTGGAAAGGGCAATTGGCGCCCTTACATCACGTGTGACAGCATATTTTGGCCATCTGGGTTGTTTAGCCTGTCGTGTTTCAGGAAGCAATGCACGCTGTGGCCATCCTATCCAGCGTGTCCCAGGCAGGCGCGCACGAACGTTAACGCCTCTACACGCGAGAGCTGCTTGCGGCTGGACATCGTTCCTACCTTTGGGCTTCCTGACCACGAATCCCCTCTTTATGAATATACTTGTAGCATTCACCCTTCCGCCTTTCGGGGGTGCGAGGGTGTGGCACGAACATTAGCAAGCGGCGTCGTTTGTTCAAGGGATGTGACCGCTCCCCAATCAAATGCTTGTTGGCATCCAGGATGGCGAGCTGGAGGTCATTTCGAGCTCCGAGGAGGCGCCGTTTTAGCATCACAACCGTGATATTTCACAGGCGCGAAGCGACGCGCTGTACTTCAAGAAGCCAGTTCAAAGGCCCCGGGCAACTTGGGCGAACGAGCCTGTAGATATGTGATAATGTGCTTTTTATATGCCGTGTGTATTTCTTTGGAACGACATTTTCCCCCTGATTGCGCTCCTAGCGTGCTGCTCAGGCGTACGGGCAGTGGACACTCAGCAACTTACCTGCCCAAGGCTAACACCGATGTGATTTGAAGCCAGCCTCAAGCTGAGCAAGCGCGTGCCACCCACGCGTGTAGACCAGGAAGCTACAAACATGTGCTTCCGCGGGCGTGCGTTGAATGTGTCACATGGTGCGTGTCACAGGCGCTTTCCCACAAGCCCGCGCGTGGGTTTGGAAGGCGTCGCAAGCCAACGCATGCCCTGGCCTGTTGCAAGCCCCTGGCTGGCTGGGCTTTGCCATGCCCACGCTTAGGCTTCTTTTGAGCGTGATGGTGCGTAGGTGCCTATTTGGACGCCGATTGAAATAGGACAATTCAAGCCTAAGGCCCTGAGTTCCAACCCAAGCCTCTACGTCCAAGGCCCACGTCGCATTGCTGCACATGTCTTTCCCATTCCCGTACGCCTGCGCGTGCGACGCGGGATGTGTGTCCTTTGTTTTTTTGTTTGTGTGTAGCGCGGGTGTGTTGTATGTGTGTATGTGGACCGCACGCATGTTTTGTGTGTGTGTGTCCGCATCTGTGTGCGCAGCGCATAGATGTCTGTGTGTGTGTGTGTGAGTTCTTGCTCGCGTTTGTGTCCCCATGCTGTATTTGCAGCAACCGCACGCGTGTTTGTTTTGTATGTGTGCGTGTTCGGCCTCAAACTCTGCCACGCTGTATCACAACGGTGTTGGGGGCTGCAGTTGCCAGGATGCTGGTTTTGGTCGATTGCGGGAAACACCTTGGTCGCACCGCGGCCGGTTTTCGTTGCGCGACTGCTGAAGGCGGTCTTTTGACCCGCAACAAAAAAACGGCAGTCTTTTGATGCCCAAGGTATGCGCAGCATACGTACAAACAATTATTCGTACTTTGGATGCTAAATAGGTCCATGATATAGTGGTTTGATGATTATGTTTGCGCAAAGGGTCAATCGCAAGGTAGGCTGCGTTGCGTCAGCGCGGCTAGGAGTTCGAGAACGACTTCGAGCTGGACATGGTCTGGTTCCCAAAGTTCCGGTTTCCGGTTGTCCCTAGAGAAAGATGGACTTAGGCCCTGACGTGACCAAGGTGTTTCGAACAAGTGGTCTTGAGGTTCGGGATTGCCACACAATGGAACCCGGGATTGTTCCGTGTAATAGGATCGTGCAGCGCCAAGGTTCGTGCGCGTGGCTCTGGGAATTCGCTGAGGTGCTTCTGGACCAAGCTGAATGGAAGGCAAGTTGCCGAACCTCTTCTGTTTGATGTTGACCCCACGACAGCATCACGAAGAACGTGAAAATAGGCGCCCCCAAGAGCAGCATGTTGAGCGCTTTCAAAATGAAACGTCAAAATCGTGATGTCGGCTTCAAACCCAGGTGTGTGGCGCAAGGCTCAAGTGGTAAACCGCTTGCAAGAGTTCGCTGGCCCAGCTTGCAAGTGTTGAAGTTGCGCCCCAACAAGGAAGAGCATGCTATGTGATTCTGGGCTGGGCCCTTCACATCCGTGGCTTATTGCGACGGGAAACCCGGATTTTGCACGTTGCCCTCGCATGTGTGTGGCTGCGTGGTTTTTTGAAATTTGCAGATAGTACGGTTTTTAGTTGTTTTCGTGAGGGTGTGTTTTTTTCAAACCTTTTTTGCACAAAAGGCTTTTCTACCGCAAACTGTAGCACTGAACCCAATGTTCTATCTGAACCTTCACCTGGTTGCGCGTTGAAACACCCCTTGTTGAGCAACCTCCTTTTTGCTTCCCGTTTTGGAGGGCCTGGTTTGGTCTTATTTGCCCAAGCTGGGGGCTTGAAGCTTTCCACAGCTGCTGCGTATCACGCCAATTCACACGCGGCTCTGTCGCCAGCTGGAGCACACTCGCGCGGTGGATGATCGGGCGAAGGGGCGTAGCCCAATTGCCTGCGGGTGGTCATAGTCTTGTTGGGCTGCCATTCAGCGCAACGTTTGCTTTCGCGGAACAGCGAGTCTTGTCGTCTTGACTAGAACGGCCGTGATGCTGGTGGTGACAGCTGCTCTCGTCTAGACGCCTGACACAGCCCCCAAAAACGCAAGGCCCCGAAAGCGCAAGTCCGCAATTAGATGTGCGACGCGTCCCGATGCTTCTTGGCGACCCTCAGACAGTTTTGTCGGCAGTCTTTATGTAGCCTTCACGTAGTCTTCCTGGAGTCTTCCCATAGTCTTCTCGACCAAGGTGAGTTGAGATGAGTCAAGGTTAGGTGTAAGGTGAGTAGAGTTTAGTCGCTTGCGGACCAGAGCGGCGCCTTTGTTTACACAACGACAACACGTTGGCTTTATCGGGGGGTTTGCCCGGAGCGGAAGACCGGGCCTTCAGTCGAGTTTTCGGTACTGCACATATGACTTCTCAGGATACGTAGGCAGCCATGCCTGCTACATCTGAGTTCATTGCGTGTTAGTTGCGACATATATACCTTGGATGCTTACACAAAGTCTCTTTGCGCAGTGCGCTTCGGCGACCGCATTGATCGATCGTTGCAAGCGCTTGCTTGGCCGAAGGGCGTGGTGTTTGGAAGTCTTTTGGAAGTGGTCAGATCTGGCTCAACATGTTTTTTGATTTGCAAATTGTTTGGAATATTGCAGGTCATCGGGTGGTTTCATTTGAGCCGTGCTGAGCATCCTCCTCCTCATGTTCTGTGTTTTGCAGACCATTGACCTTTAGGCGACCAGTCTGTATTACATACCCATATTGGCTCAAGGCCGGAGGGGTGGTGAGCAGCGTAGGAGCCACTGTGGTAGCAACTGTTTCCCAACAAGAATCTGACACTGTTTTCCTTGAGGAAGTATATGAATACGTGCTGAGAATGAGCGCAGCGCGGTCTTTTTCTATGGCAAGTCTGAACTCTATGGTAGAAAAAGGCCCCGATAGACCCAACATGTTGACTTGACCAAAACGCTGGTGATGCTGGCCGGGATGAACACTGCAATCTTCAGACCAGCGCGCGCCAACAACGCAGCCCGCAGTCTGCCTGTAGCCCAACCCGCATCTCCCTCTTGCAACGCCCGCAGTCTTTGATTAAGTGTCTAAGTTTTGGTAAGGCTAGCTAAGGTTAGCCAGGCTTGTTAAGGTTTGCAAAGGATAGTCAGAGTTAGCTAGGGCTAGTTGAGGCTACCTAGGGTTACACAGTCCAGGTTGTTCGTCAAAAATCTCTGCGCACCCTCGTCCCCACCACCCGTTACACCCCCCTAGCCAACGAAAATGAACACGTGTTGCCTTGTGCCCCGGCTAGCAAACTTCTGGGAGTTTGATTGTTGTTTTTGCTGATTTTTTTTTGCCAGGGCTTCCAATACCGGGCGGTGGTCTACGGGTGCTTGCTGGCAGATGCCGAGGTCCACAAGCCGCTCCTGTCTATCAAAGTTGTTTTCGCCTTTGGCTCCTGACCATGGGTAGACCCTTGAGACATTGTTCTGGGGGTTTGAGAAGCGCCTTCAGAAACATGGATCTAGAGTCTAGAGATGAGTTGGTTGGTTTCGCTTGAATCCGCGGAAGATTTCCTCAGACATGGCGAGTTCCCCCATGCGACGGGGGCGCATGCATCATCAGTTTACCCATGTTGGTCCCCAACTTAGCCAACTTAGACCATCTCACAACCTTTTTAGTAAACAGGTTGCCCTTTCAGGCAGAGAGATGTGCCTCGCGTAGGCCTTTGTTGGCTCAGAAGTGGGCCTGGAGCGGAGCGAGAGATCGGTGCGCAGACCGCTGCAAGTTTGGGCCCGGGTAAAGAACTGGGGGGCCTTAGATTCTCAATTTGTGCCTTTGCCAAGGTTGCTCCGAGCGTCCGTGTTTCCTGCACTACTAGCTCATGCTAGTTAGGTATAGGTCTGGTTTCTTTTGTTTTGTCGCCAATCCTTGGAAGCAATCCAGTTTCAGGATACTTTGTGGGACCACTAGAAAGGGCAGCTAGCTAGACAGGGCCCCTTTTGGGCTGAAGCTTCCCCGTTCAAATAGTTGCAGACAAACTCATGTTAAGAGCTGCATGCTGTCTGTAGGGAGCGAGTCCACATCATCGGGATGCCTCCCGTGAAAAGAAAACAATGAGAATGGAGCCTGTGCTGATTCTCTCGGGTGTTTCGACGGCATCCATGGCCGGGATGTCAGCTGTGAAAAGCGCGGTTGGGCAGCCTTGCGGGCCATCGGGCTGCCTTTCCGAGCAACCTGTTACTTGAGCTCCTTTTCACACTGTTTACAAGCAAGAACTGGTTGGAGGTCGCGAAAAGGAAACGAAGACACCAACAACCACTTACAGGCGGGTCCCGCAGCGGAACGAAAAACAAAGAGAAGAGTTTCGCGCACCAACAACGAGCCAGAACAGTGGGACAGCAACCGTAAATTTACGTGCGTCTTGAGATTTGTTGCGTGACTTGCGTGACCATGAACCAAACAAAGCCTCGGATAATTGTGTAAGGCCACCCAAGTTTACGGGGTTCTTGTTTCGGCCATGAGGTCCAGGGTGGTTGCACCCCCACACCTGAGAGTCTCTGAGATGAACCAGTTGGCTTCCAAGGGCTTTCGCTCAGTCCAAAGCATGTTTCATTGAAAATCGTTGGCGTAGCATGCCCCCACATTTTTGGGCGGTTTTGCTGGCTGGGGGGGTAGTGAGCTTCTGTGCGGCCATTTGGTCAGCTTGCAGCTTACCCTTGGTGATTTGCTCGGTTCGGAAGTGTTCTGAGAAAACTTCCCATCCAAAGTCGGCTACCTTGATGCACGCCACATGCCTTTCGCCCTTTCGCAGTGGGTGCGCGCGCTGACGAAGTCTCGAGCTCTCTCCGAACCCCGGCCGGAGCAGGGTCGATTGGCCCGGCGCTTAGGCGAACATGGGCCCATTGCTTAGACAACCTTGGTTTGGGAACAAGGCCTAGATCGCCTGTTGTTTGGAGTTTCGCTGGGCCTCTGCTGTGGCGCATTGAAGTGACGGTTTCCTGGCGCTGGTGCCGGGCTGGAAAGGGCCGCACCTGCTCAAGTATGCCCTCAGCAACGCGTGCGTAATGACCATCGCGCCCGCCCACTTAAGAGTACAAGCTCAGCAGCGCGCATGCCTGCCAAAAGATGAGCAGGGCCGCTCACGGACACAGACACACACGCACTCACACGCACACACACACACACACACACTTATAGAGCGAGGATGACTCTCAGTCGCACAGCACGCAACACGAATGCAAACCCAAAACACCAAACAAGGAAGCAACAAAGTCATCAAAGGAAAGGTCCAGGAGCTGGCCAAGCCCGCATGTCACCAGATCAAAAGGGCATCTTCGTTGGCAGCGGGCCCAACAGATCTGCCGCTACTCCCTGCGTTCATGCGCGGACCAAAGCAATTGGAACCACACCGTCGAGAAGTTTGGCCAAGGCGTGAGCAGAGGCCGGAAGAAGGCTCCCGATGAAGCCGACAAGCGGGTCCAGTCTTTCTCCGTTTTGGCAGGACGGCGTCCAGCGCGCGTTTGTAGATCGTCGGGTCTGCAGAACTCATCAGCTTCGAAGCAGCGTGCTCCTCGGTGTGGCGGACAAGTGGTTGCCGAACATCCAAGATTGTTGACGATGGAAAAGGAAGATTCGTAAGGAACATGATTCATGATGCTGAACATGAAAGGAGGGCCACGTTCGTCACTGCGGCCAGACCCAACCCCAGAGCGTTCATGAGTTGGCGAACGAACCCTGGAAGGAAGGAGTTGCTCATAGAGTCATGGAGCCGGAGAGGCAGGCGTTCAACCTGGTTATGAGGCTGGATGGCCTCGTCGGCTTTTCCGGGCAACTGAAAGTCCTGCTTGCTTTTGGTTTTCTGTTGGTTTTCCTTTGGCTCCTTTTTGGTTTGGTTCACTCATGGCCTGCTTTTGGGTTGTCTTTGATTGTCTCTTTGATTGTCTCCCGGAGGGAACCCGCGCCACACATCATGCGCCAAGGTCTAGGGTTCCACCCAGAGGGAAACTTCTTTCACAAACTTCTCAAGGGCGGTCTGTGTGACATTCGTCGTCGTGAGCGGGTTGAAGGCAAACGTGGGTTTCTTTTGTTGGCCTGCGACAGCGGCGCGCTCGCCGCGACGTTGGATGGCTCGCGCAAAAAGTCTCTCGAACCAGTCGGACACCCCGCAGCTGGCGCTGCCTCTTCGCTTTGCAGAAGCAAAAATTGGCCAACGTCTTGGGCGTTCCCAGGGTTCTTCGAAGGGGGGGGTTTTGCCATCCCAAGCGTTAAGCGCGCTTGCAAGTGCGACCAATATAGCGCGGCAGAGACCCAAGGCATTAAAGCTGCAAAGGCGCATGCGTTGAGCGCAGTAGGGAAGCCGGGTCACTGCAATCTGGGTGCGCGAAAAAACACAGCGCGCAACAAAAGAAGAAGTTGGTTTCAGCTCAAGCGATCAGTGAAAAACACGCAACCGTCTGCGCCTTGCGAAACAAAATAAAACTCCTTCTCTATGTGGGATGACAGATTTTCTGCTCGATTGTGAAGCGGGCCTTGGTCCGGCCCATCCTCTGTCTGGGTATCCCTGTTCAACTGCACCAACCAGTTCTGCTCCGAAGTAGACCTTTTGTCTTAGTTAGGTCCAGTGGCATGTCATGAGTGGTTTCTAGTCATACAGCAACGTGTGGTACGGGGCTAGTATGTCAAGAAAACGACGGGTGGACGACGGGCGGGCGACGGGTGGGCGATGGGTGGACGACGGGAGGACGACAAGAGGACGACGGGTGGACAACAGGTGGGCGACGGGAGGACGACAAGAGGACGACGGGAGACGACATCTTGCAAGTTTGGGCAAATGTCAGCTGCGGCCAGATGCCGAACACATGTGAAAAGCCAACTTCTACTATGTACGAATCACCGGGGAAGGCCCATCACGCCATCATTGGCAAGCAACAGCGCGGCAGCGCGGTTTCTATGCGCTGTCTGCGCCCTCCGCCACCTGCGAATCACCAGGGTAGGCTATAATCGCCGCACTGAGGACAATGCCGGAGCACTTCGGCGCGCGATGCCAGCGCAACACTGACAGCACCAACAGACAGCATAAAACGTGTCTTCGCTTCAACCAACAAGGTTCTAGTGTTTCTTCACAAGCAGATTTTAGGAGTCCTGGGTCAATAGTCATAGATGAGTCATAGACATAGCATGATAGGGGGCCACACAGGTAAGCGCAAAAGCAGCTTCAAAACAGATGTTGATGTGACAGATGTGAGATGTGTGTCACGCGCACGTCGCTGCGTCGCACAATGCTACCGCGCAGCCCAAAGCCAAACGGAGGCTCTGCAAGCCGCGCGTGACTGGCCAGCGCGAGCACCTTGAATGGGCATGGTCTATGTGCCATGGGCGACTGGCAGTGCTTGGTACCACGGGCACGCGCTTTATAGTCAGACCAACAGGGGTTGTGGTATGTCCGACGTACACATCGCTTCTCCCTGGTTGAGCAGCAGAAACTATCGTCCACAAAAAATTGCCTCGACGCTGGCCCTTGCTCGTGGAAGAAAATGCAAATCGCATGCGGGTTCAAAAGCGCGTCCTTATTTTAGCCACAAGTGTTTTTTCTAGGCTAGATTTAGCTCATAACTTACAGCCATTAGAATATAGGCGTAGCATCCAGTGAGTCATGGCCAGAGTCATAGGCATAAGGCATCATAGGCTTAGCCACTTAAGTTAGGCTTATAAGCTTAAAGCGTACATGCTTCAAGTTTAAAGTTTGAGATTTAAAGCGTAAAGCCTACCGCCTTAAGTTGAAGTTAAAGTCCAAGTTGTAACCCTATAGTCTGGTGTCAATCGCTCCTGCATTTGCACTTGCATGTGTGACAGTGTGACTGTGTTTGCGCGATATGACGCTCTACAGCTACGTTGCAGCTTTCCTGCAGGCTAGCCTAGTCTAAATCCAGAGTCAAGATCGTAGAGCGCGACATAGTCGTAGTTGCGAGTCATGTGATAGTTGTAGTCGTTTGTAGTCATAGTCATAGACATAGACATCTTGAGTCGTATTGGCAGCAGTGCTGGCAGGCCATGCGAGGCTGTAGCCTAGAGGCCAATTTGGCATTGGCAAGGCCATGAGCTAGGCTACAAGCTATTTAGGCAGCAGCCGGCTATACGCTATAGTCGTGAAACCAAGAACGTTGACACGCAGGTCGTTCCAATCCTTGTGGCGATTTGCCGCGCAAGTAGCTTGGTTCACAGGGCCTCTTGGCTAGGAGGCAGTCGCCCAACAACCTGGAAACACAAGAACAATAACAATTATTAATTAATCTTGTAGGTCATGGGACTTATAGGCCATGAGCCTTTTATGAGGACTTATGAGCTTTCTACGAACTTGTATGAACTTGTAATGGCGTGATACGATTTTTACGGACCAACATATGGAGAAGTTAAAAACAACGAGAAACATTGGCTTGTGGCCTTGCGCCCACCCCACACCCAGGCGAAGTCGCTCCGCCAAGCTCATGTGCATCTTGACCCACGCCTGGCTTGGGCCCGCTGAGTTGCCAGTGCTGGCGCCTCCTGCACTTTCACGCAGTTCGCGCACTTTCTCGCCGTCCATCCCCCGTCCTAAAATCGGGCTTGGGCCCCCTTAGGACGGGTGCGCGACGGGGCTGACGACGGGCGCGCAACGGGTGTGCGACGGGTGTGCGGCGGGCGTACGACGGTTGTGCGACAGGTGGGGGGTGGCGTCCCGCCATTTGTTGTATGAGTTGCAAGCACTAGGCGCTCAACATGTGCTATCTTGGGCGTTAGCCTTGCGTCGCGCGACTCAGTCATCAGATTTGTGGTCGGCCTGGTAGAGGGAGCTGATCCTGTTGCTGCCCAGGATGGCTTCCTGCTAATTGAGCTGCGCTCAGACAGCCCTTCTGAGCATACCCCGACCCAAAAAATCTGCTTTAAGTTTTGGTTGCATGTCCAAAATGGCCTGTGTAGGTCTTTGGGGTATCTTGCAATGGGCTCAAAAGTACCTCGCTCTGTTTCAGCGCAACATTTTGCGTTTCCCTAAATATGACAAATTTGATTTTCCTCGATATCTGGGTTGCTGCTATCCGACCGTGTTGCTACAAACAGTGCTGTTTGGATTCAACAATGGATATTTTGGGGGGCTGCTTGGGCATAAAAACTTGGGTATGCTCGAGGCTGCGTGGTCAACATTTTTGGGGGTATGTTTGATATTCCATATCCCAATCTTTTACACCCGGGAGCCGAAATCTCATATTTTTGGGGTATGTTAGGTTTTCCGTGGAAACTCGAGGTTTTTGAGGGAAATCTAGCATACCCAAAAAATTGACAAATTTTAGGAAATTCAGGCTGCGCAAAGTGTAGCTCCCCACTTCTCAGGATAACCGTTTTGGACACCATCCCGCAAAAGTCCCACCCGCATGCTCACCCGTGTTACGCGTTTCCCCATTCATAGCACCTCGTGGTGCTTGGGTGAAACCAAGCCCCTTTTCCATGACAGTTCCCCCTTTAGGGCAACATCAAACAATAGCCATTTTTCGAGCCCGATCGGAGCGTGCCAAACACCCAATGCTGCCCAACGCTGCAAAATTATCCCAAGTCCGTTAAAAATCTCTAAATATATGCTGAGAATGGTTGTTACAGGATTCTTAGACAGATAGACGGACAAGCGCCACAGTCCCACTGTGAATGCCCATCCTCCTCCCGCTCCAACTTTCCAAGCCTAGCCGCCATGACCAAGTCTCTCTTTGTCACTGCGCTGCAGACCACTCACTGACGCTGCTATTGTCGGTCTGAAACGCAACCATCGTTCCATTATGACCGCCCCCCCCTCTCTTCTTCAAGCTACAAACGCACACACGCACCAAAGACAAAGAGCAAGGCGGCGGGGCGAATGGCGAAAAGGCCGGACCCTCAAAAGCACACCCAAGACACAGAGCGGGGTAGCGCGGCTAAAGGCGAAAAGCCCCAAGAACAAGGCACAGCGCACACACACACACACACACCCAAGCACAAACAGCAGGCTGGGCGGCGCAGCGAAGGGCAACCAGACCCAAAGAGCAAAGTGCAACACGCACACGCAACGACAAGCAGATGGCTCTATGGTTGTCGCAGGCGCCCCCCAATTGCCCAGTGACCGTGGAAGAAAAGGAAGCGTTCTTCGGTTTGAACTGTGTGGCGCCACACCTGAGAAGCGCCGTGGCCGCAAAAGGACACAGCGTAGATAAACTAGACACGCGCCGACTAAACTATTTGTCACACACCCACTTCCGAACGAGTGGATAGGGCAAACAAAGGCCTCTTTTCTTTGGAGGTTATTACTTTACAATTATTGTGCAATGTTGAACCTATAGTTTATAATTTACAGTTTGCGTATCAAGCCTGACTTGTGACTCGCGACTATCACTGGACTATCACTGCTATGACCATCACTGTCACTGTTATTGCGTCGCCAGCCTGCCTGACAGATTAAGCAGATGAGAAGCCTTGCCTGCATCAACTTCTGGGCGAACTGTCGGGCACCTGTGCAACCGCATCCCGAACCTAGGCTGCATGGATGGGCGGCCTACTTGCTATGTAGTTGGCGAACTTAAGCGATTTGCTAAGCCACCTTCCTCTGACTTAGCGGACTTACAACCTGGCTAAGTCCACTTGGCAAGTTAGAGGACTTGGCTAACTACTTAGAACTATTCAGCATCTAATTAGCTAAGCCCTCCAACTCGCCAAGTGGACTTGGCCAGGTTGTAAGTCTGCCAACTCAGACTTAGCGAGCTTACTAACTCAACTTGTAAGTGGCTCAGCAACTCGCCTGAGTTCGCCAAGCACATAGCAAGGTAGGCCGCCTATCCAAGTGGCCCTGACGGGGCCCATGCAACGCGGTGGATGCTGAGGCGCCTGTCCGATATGGCAAACTGAGACGGCGTATAGCCACCTGAGTGAATAAGTTAAAATCAAGTAAGCTATAGCCTTTGGCCCAATGGCCTAAAGCATGGAATGATGACGTACAAGACGTGTCTTCACCAGAGCCACCCGTAGCTACGCGTCGCACATTGCTCCAACCATTTCCGGACTCCCCCCCTTCCTGCTGCCGACTCATCATCAAGTGCCCCGGCGCTTGAGCAGCGTGATCGTCCTCGAACTTCTGCAAGGGCTGCGTGCGGACATCGCACAGCAGCAAACATACAGAACTGCAGCTGGTCGCAAATGGCTTGCCGAGGATGTCTGTCCCCCCAAGCCAACGCAACATGTCCAACGTCCTGCAGCTTCAACTCCCAAAAAAGGAGGTACGTACTATCATGCCAACATAGCCGGCATGGTTGCCAAAGTTCTATAGACATCACACAACTATTCAGACCACAAGATACAAATTGTAACACGAGGCCGCTTATTACTGCAGTGTGTGTTGGGCTATTTTTAGGCATCCCTGCATCCCATTGTGGACCGCGCGCATGCCCGTCTTTTAGGAGTGCCTCTTCTGCACGCCTCTGAAAAGAAAGCAGCAAGGAATATCCCCCGCCTTGCTTGGCGTCGCGCAGTCAACGCCTGCATTCCTGATCGCTTTGCGAACGTACCTTGGGGCGACGTCGAAGAACCAAAATTCGAAACAGGGGATCCTTTCAATGTGTTCCCTACTTTCTAGCATGGTCCCAGCACGGCTGAGCAGGATATTGCGACCTGCATCGGTAACTACATGAACCAGAACACGTCACCGCGCAGACAACTGGGGGCTGAGGTGGCCGCCAGCGTTGCCATGCCCTTGCGGCGCGTGGTGGGACTCTTAGCGAACTTGCGCCTTGGAACTTGTCCCTTGGGCATGGCTAAGGCAGTCGTAGTGAAGTTTCAAGGAGATCCAGCGATTTCGGGGGTAGGGAGTTTCTTGCCATTGGTTCTTGGCCCTTTAAGGACATCATGTTCGAAGTTTCCATATTATGAGACCCTCACTACGCGACACGGCGCTCGAGCCCCGGCCAGGTTCAAGCACTCAAGGGTCGCGTGCTGGCGACGAAGCTGCGGGAAGCCCGCCAGAGCAGCGCCCCTGTTCTCTGACGCCTAGACATGCCATGGCCGCAGTTATTGGGGGGTCTTTAAACTTGCTGTGTTCAAATGATGTCAATGAATAAAATTCGTCCCCGCAATTTCAATCATTGCAGCAGACAGACAATGGCTGGCAAGAGGCCGTCTGTTCTGCTCTTGTCAATCCTATGACAACATCTACAACACCCTGTCCAGGCGCCAAAAAGACTTCCTGCACAGGCGTTGGGTCGTGCGGGTTTACTGACAATATTGTTGTAAGCGCTGCTCGCTGCCCACTTTCGCCAGGTCGAAAAACAATAAATCATCGCGTGTATGAGCAAATGATACCGGGCCGGGCTGAGCTTCTGCGCCAAGTGTCTTCAGGAACTTGAGCTGGCCAATGAGGTGGCCGGAGTGAGCTGGATTGGGGGGGGCTTGCGGGCTAGCGTTCCACGAAGCGTTCCAGATTTGGTGGCAGAATAGGTCGAAGCTGGGCTGAATTGTGCTGGGACTCGTTGCGTCGGCCGCAAGGGCTAGGGGTCTCGGTCGAGGGCAGCTGGAGCATGGGTTTTGAGCCGCGTGGCATGAGTTGCCGGGGCAGGGAGGTCCAAATAGTCAAGGCCAATGACAGGGTCCAACAGAGGAGAAAGTTGCAGGCCTTTCCAAGATCCTGGCAGACACGACGTTTGCAGCAGCAGAAGCAACTGCGGCTGCAGCACGGGAGCAGGAGACTGACTACTTCTCCGATTCTCCCGGAATGCGCGTTTAAGTTTTATCTCTGCAGAATTTACAACATCCCCTTCCACGTGACACCTAGGCAAAATGAGACAGATTGCGCGCGCTTCGAAACAAATCTAATTGCCCGCTGGCAGGACTCAGGCAGCGAGCAGCCGGACGACTCGAGGGCCGAAAATGTTGCGACAGACGGCTGCAGAGAGTGCAGGGAGAGAGAGAGAGAGAGAGAGAGAGAGAGAGAGAGAGAGAGAGAGAGAGAGAGAGAGAGAGAGAGAGGCAGCGGGGACGTGACAACGCGAAAGAGAGAGGGAGAGAGTTAGAAACAGAGAGAGAAAGAGATGCGGAAAAGAGAGGCCTTGTTTGGATTTCTGGTTTTCCACCGAAATCCGTCAACGCACACTGGATGTTTTCACCCGACCCCTTAAGGTCACAGGCGTGCTGCGACCCTGCGACGAGAGCATTTACCACGCCTTTTTTACTTGTTTAGCATGTCCTGCCTGTGGATGGCTGCTGAAGAGGGTGTTTCGCATCAACTGTTTGCAGCGCGGTGTTTGCGCACATTGCAGTCCATTTGTTCAAGCATCTTTTTTCTTATACTGATACCCCTTAAGCAAAGCTTCCTTCCACCCACGGCTGATTGAAACCCGGGTAAATCGTTCATCTCGGTTCCATCGCCCCGCCCCCCGCAACTGCTGACAGGTTCCTGCACCATCGACAACCACGCAAAGTGCCAATGACCACCATCAACTGGAACTGAAATATGGGTTTCTCAGGGAAACACGCCTCATAGGACAAACGTAAATTGCAATGTTTGTTTGGGGGGCGGGGCGGTGAGAGAGGGGGATGTCTCGCACCATCTCTTCGGGCTCCTCCTGAGAAGCTTCACACGGACCGGAGGTTTGTCAAATCAAATGCTTGCGCTCCCTCTGCCACGGACGCTCTCTGAGGACAGTTTGCAAGATAGCTTTCCTTTTGGAAGGGGGCCTGGCGGCTCGCGTCTTAAGTCTTGAGGGAGGTTCGCGTTTTGCTGAGAGGGACCCTGTTGCCTGTCTTGAAGAGATGTGAAGGTTGGCACGCTTTTTCGGATTCCAGCTAGAAACTAAAGACAAAGCTGTCAATTCTTCTTTATGAGGGGTTCCCCGGATTTTGAGACGAACGCAAATTGGACAACAACTATTGCATGAAGGCGAAGAAAGAACCTGGTGATTTCTCAAGCTCTGTTCTTGCTTTAAGTGCACTTTGCACCGCTTGAGATGAACTCCGGGCACTTGTTTCTTTAAGCTGTTCATAGGCCATCCTGAAATTTCGACACACATCCCTTTGTAGTGGTTTCCCAGCAGGGGCTATCTTATCGCTGAAGTATTTCTCATAATCATTTAGGAAACACATGCAATATCTAACCAGCAATATTCAAATAGTTAGGGCGAATAAGTTAAAACATATCGAGGTATCGGTTAAATATCGACTAAGCAATATGTGTTTTAGTTCAGAATTATCACCCGTATTATTTCTTCAACTTATTGTATGCCCAGCCTGTTCGCGTTCAAAAGTGCAACCAAGAGGAAGCTCTATCAGTCGCCTTATTTTCCAGGAGCATCTTGACGGTGGTCTATATGTCCATCGTAGCGAAGGAGAGAAGGTGCAACTCAAACTTGCACTGGCAAGCGGGCGGGTTTCAAATCAGTTTCTTAGTCAGGCGCGCCCGGCGAGGGTTTCACATGAGATGCTGACGCAGTTGTCTCGTTGTCTCAGCTGAGCCATGCGTATCCTGCGTTTTGTGGCTCAGATGCAGTCTTTGTTCACACTACGGCGCCAGTCGCTCAAAGTAGAATGCTGGCAGCAGGGTGGCATCGGTGGTTTGGTTGCTGGGCGCAAAGATGAGTGCGGCAATACACAATTTAGTACTGGCAATACAACATTTTGAAGTGGCAAGCAAATAATTCGACTTTTCTGGGCCATGAGCCGTCTCAGAAAGTTTCTATCTTCCGCAATGCCTGAAAAATGCAAGGACTGCACAAAGATAGAAACTTTTTGGATCCCTCCCTAAAGGAAGCTCTGTCCGAAACTGTTCTCTTCTTGCGCAGTAACTCAGACATCTGCAGAGGGGTGCTTGTGGACTCGCAGGGCTACCCCCTCTGAAAAACTAACTGCTGGCAATGTTCAATTTTAGTCCTGGCAATATTAAGTTTAGCGCTGGCAATATTAAATTAGGTACTACGACTAATAGATTTTCTACAGGCAAGCAAGTAATGCTTCCGGGCACTGAGCCGTAGCAAAGTTTCTATCTTTTCGCAAGGCCTGAAAACACAGGGCTTGCGCAAAGATAGAAACTTTTGACCGGAGAGCTTCTATCTTTCCACGGGGCCGCCAAAGCCTGCAACGGGCTGATTCCGTTTTCGCACGAATACTAAGTTAAGTAGCGGCAATACTAGCTTTCAGTACTGGCAATACCAAGGGGGAAGCAAAGGTTTCTATCTTTCCGCAAGTTCTGAAAACACAGCGTTTGCACAAAGATAGAAACTTTTTGGATCTGCAAATGAAGCTCTGTCCGAAACTGTTCTTACCTTGCGCGGGACCCAGACATCTGCAGAGGGTTGATTGTGGACTTGCAGAGCTACACCTGCATTCTGGAAGCCCAACATCATTCCGAAACACCTGTTTTGTAAGCAGTTTAAACAATTCAGTTCCTTTCTTAAAGTCAAGTACTGGGAACATTAAATTCACTACAAGCAAGCAAAATAATGACAATGAAGCACAATACACAATTTCTCGGACATGCAAACGCTTGTAGAAACTCAGCCCCTTGGGCGCGCAAAAGTTTCTAGCTTGCTGCAGACGCTGTAAAACACGGGCCCCGCAGAAAGTTATTTTTTTGACTGGGCGTTCAGAGTAAAACGCAATGTCAGTACTAAATTTAGTACTGACAATGCTGAATTTCGAATGGACAGTACTCAACTCAGTTTGCCGGTGTTGAGCTTTGTATTGTCAGCGCTGAATTGAGTATTGCCTGTAGTAAGTTCAGTCTTGCTAGAATTGCCAGAAGTAAATTTAGCATACCTGTACTAAATTTAGTGTTGCCAGTACAAAATGCAGTATTGCCAGCGCTAAATGTAGTATTTCCAGCACTAAATAGTATTGCCGGCGCATCATTTTGCATTGCGAGTGCTAAATCTGGCATTGCCTGTATAATGTAGTATATTACCAGTAGGAAATTCAGTATTCCCAGTACTCGGTTTAGTACTGCCAGCACTAGATGTGGCATTGCCAGTACTAAGCCCCATACTAAAGATTGAATCCTGGAAGGTTTCTGGACTTTTCAAAAAATATCTTTTCCTGGAACGTCATACGGTTTGTCATTTGTTCCTTGAGGAATCAGCTCAAGCGCCGGGTTTTTTGCTTTCCGTTGGGGATGGCCTGGATTTCGCCGAGGTTCTCATAGATCCTTTGCGCCAGCAGCGGCCGGATCCTTACAACAAGGAATATCCTGCTTGGTCTAGGAAAAAACGTTAAGTGTTCCAGCAAAAAAAGGAGGAAAAGGCCGAAGGGAAAAGGGAAAGGAAAATTGGTTCGGTCTAAATTGCAAGAGTTGAAGAAGAGAAGCAAATGCCTTAGGTGTGGAGGGCACGGCCATTGGGCCGGTGACCCTGGCAAGCCTGCTGGATTAGCATTTGTGGCGTACGACAGTGACACCTCGACTGAGCACGAGATTTGCTTACAGGCAGGCCAGGCACCTGAAGGCGTAGCTTTTAATATCCAATTCCAGGTTATCTGGATCAGGCAAGGGTTACACAAAGGCGAACGCGTCGGATTTTGTGCCTGTTCCACGGAGCCCACCGGTCGTCTGACCCTTTGCCCATTCCCACGAACACCCCTTCCGAGAATCAAGATGCAACCACCAGAAATAGCAGAGCTCGCATCGTGGTTCGTGAAGGGGAGATGGATGAGGACCTGGAAGGCGGTGAGCAGAGGATGCGTCTTGGAAAGTACAAGGGAATGACATACCGGCAGATTGTTATTCAAAACCCTCAATATGTAGTATGGGAATTGTCGCAGAAGAAGCCATCACAGGTTTTGTAATCTTTCCCCAGCTGGGTCATGAAGCATACGTTGTTGAGGGAAGTGTATTGATGAAGAGATCGCTTTTAGCTGTCCCCCCCGGATACTTATAACCCCATCAAAAAGCCATCTTCGTCGAGGCAGTCACCGAATCTACCCCTTGAGAAGTGTGTGGAATGCAAGTATTTCTCGTACCAAGGATCAATGGGATATACGGATCGAAAAATTTGCAGAGACTGTGGCCATGCGACCGCGACAGATAAACGACCTATTCTGTTGAGAACTGTCCGCATGAACTGGCGGTCGACGTTTCGGGTGTGGTGTAAGCAATGTGCCATGGAAGATAGGAAGGAAATGAAGGCAACATCAAGGCAGGTCGAGCAAGCCAACATTACTGTGGCACCCATCATATAAGGACTTGCTTCAGCAGATGCCCAACATAGACTGTCAGATTGTAGGTGCATTTTTAGCGGTTGTGACCAAATCTCTCGTGGCAGGTGAAGAACTGGCAGCTGCAGACCTGCATAGCATCCTACAGGACTGTGTAATGGAAGCGACGCAAGGGGGTGAACCTGCATCATCGCCTTGGGAAGCAGTCGCTTATCACGGGATAGACGACGACATTAAACCTGACATAATGTCCGTTCAGAATTTTCCTGCGCGGCATGACTGACAAGCCTATGTCGTTTGAGCCGCCTAGCGCCAAAGCAGAAGCCACTGGCCCGGGAGTGGGGCCAGCCGACGCTGACAAGGCCACTGGCACCACTGACAAGCCCGCTGGCAAGGTCGCTGACAAGACCGACAAGCCCGCTGGCAAGGTCGCTGACAAGACCGACAAGCCCGCTGGCGAGGCCGCTGACAAGGCCACTGGCAAGGCCGGCGGCGCCGCTGAACAGCCGGCCACGAGCAGCGCTGAGCAGAGAGCCAAAGAAGCAACAGTCAAGGCCAAGGTGACCCTGCTGCGGCAAAACCAAAGGCGCCTGCCAAGCCTGAGCCTGCGGGCGCAAAGTCGCAAGTTGCCGGCCCAGGACGCAGAGTCGAGTGCCAGCGATACCCCCTCAACTAAGGAGCTGCTGGGCATGATTGTTGAGGAAGAAGACTCTAGCAAGGAAAAGCGCCCCAAGTGCAAGGACGTTTTTTGTCACCCGCACGCCTTGAGGCAATTGCCATC